TGTCTGCTTTGGATTTACACTTGCCTGCACACACAAGTTGCAGTGGCTTTAACTCTACTGGGATGCTGCTAGATGGGTACAGCTCTTCCCGGCCTGGAAGCAGTGAGGAAGTGTAAATTGATCTCCCTTTTCCAGGAGGGCATGGGCTGTGCAGACCCCCCTTGCCTGGAGCCTGCAGGCCATCGTGGAGCACCTTGTCTTAGGAGGAGTCACTTTAAGTCCTGTTGTGTTTGATGCACGTGTCTCCGTGTTCCCAGCTGTTGCATGCAGGGACTTGTGCCTCTTTCTACGCTTCCCTGGTTCCAGGAGTTGATGTGTGTGGCTGGAATAGGAGAGAGGACAAGGGGGTTGAGAAGGCAGTGTTTCTTTTCTATGGGGAAGAGTCCGGATGAAAGGAATTCACGAGACAAAAGAATTGCAGGGAATTTGGTCTTGAGACAAACTTCAGGCAGTGCTTGTTTCGAGCCGCAGATAAAATTCCATGTTCACATGATTGTGTGAGGCTTACAAGGAAGTGGCCTTAACCTGGAAAAAAAAGCAGCTTTGAGACTGGTGACTGCTTTGTAGGCCAGGTATGCTAGTGGTTGCATTGCCTTCCTTCTCTAGATCAAATGCTTCTGCTGCTTCTGCTGCCAGGCCCGTGGTCAGCGTCCCCACGAGCAGTGATCCCAGGCCTTGCCCGTGCACAGCAGGACCCGAGCAGCACCCAGAGCTGAAATGAGCAGCCTTCCCCTGCCTACAAAAGAAACACTCTCCCTTCTACAAGCGTTTTCTTAATCATGATAATTAACTACGAAATGTTTGTCTTCTCTTTAAGGGAAAGGTTATTATGAGCAAGCTGGTTTGGGTTGCGTTATTTTTATTTAGTTTTAGGAGAAGGAGGGGGAAAAATGGAGCGAAGAAGAATCTGCTGCTGCTGCTGAGGTTGCATCATTTGTTGGGAGCTTTGTCTCTGCCCTGCTTCACAGAATGCCACCTCGTGCTGTCCTGCCTGTGACAGCCTGGTGGGAGATTTGCCTGGGGCTGTGTCCCAACTGCACGTGGGGCCTGGTGGGGTCACCTCAGAGGATTGGTGACCACTTCCCAGCTGGAGGCTTCAGGCCAGGCAGGATCAGCCCTGTCTGTGGGCAGAGGTGTTGTGCCCCACATGGGGTTGAGCAGTGTGAGGAGTCTCCTTCTCTCAGCCTTGTTTCAGATCAACCTGCCTTAGCTGCATGGCTGTGCCCAGAGTAGCTGCTGCGAAGCCTCATGTTCCCAGACCGTTGATTTTTAAGACATTAAAAAAAAAGAAAAAGACCCTGGTGAAGGTAGACATCTTGGCACCTCAGCCTGCACTCCTGCCCGGGCTGCCTGCAGAGAGCTCATGATGTAACTCTGCTCCCTTGGGCTTGGTAAGCTGCAATATGTTGGAGTTTGCTGTGCATGTGTTGTCTTTGCCTCTAAAACCTGTTTGGACCTTTGCGAAGGGCACCCGGATGGCTGATGCAAATGCCAAGGAAGAGGCTGAGACAGCTCTTTCTGTGCTTCCCAGCTTTGTTCTTTTTAGCTTTCTTTTCTTTCTTTTCTTTTCTTTTTTTTTTTTCTTTTTTTTTTTTTTTTTTT